TCTCTCTCTCTCTCTCTCTCTCTGTGTGTGTGTGTTTGTGTGTGTGTGTTTGTGTGTGTATGTGTGTGTGACAAATAGCATGGTAATTAGGGGTGTGGAGGCTTATATGACAATGACACACAATAGCTATGTAATGATCATTGATCACAAAATATATAGTATCAAAATGTATATCAAACATTATAGAATCCAATGATGCCTCAAAGTTTAGCCTGTGTTGAAGGAACAACTCACTAGTGTCAACTGTACAAGTTCCTGTGTGTCCTCATGTCTTCACGGTCCTCTGTCACTCATGACTTCGATTCTTATGCAGTGAAGAGCACACACTCCGGGGCACCTTGGCCCTCCCAGAAGATCCGCCTTCTCCACAGTTCTCTTTCCTATTCTCCTGGTTGCTCCCCACTCCCTAGTGTCAATGGAAAATTTGCTCACAGCAATTCACCTCTCTTTTCTCACTCCAAGCCTGCCATGACATTTTCCCTAGGGCTTCTTACAGGAATCAGAGCTTTCCCTCACAGGAAGGCCCTCTCAGTTTTGAAATCAAGGCTCTAGGCTGTAACCATGGCCACAACATGATGCAGCTTCTCCCATCAGAAGATGAAGTCTATGTGTTGGCATCTTGAACCAAGGATAGCCTTTTCACTTGGCCTGGATAAACTGAAAGTGGATGGTACAATTCTCAGTGGTGGCTTTGTGTGGTCTGAAGCTTCCAGAATATTCCTCGTAAGTGGGAGAACACAGAGCAGAGGTGACCTGCCAGAATGAGGCCCCTGCATCTACTGACTCCTGCCTTATCAGCTGACTATAGAGCATAAGGACTCCAGTAGGAAGGAGTCTAGACTATAGAGCATAAGGACTCCAGTAGGACTGGCCTATCCACTAAAACATTGACTTACGGGCAGCAGTTGTTCTGAAGCACTTGTCTGGAGATTTCTCTGTTAACTGGAAAAGCAATGAACTAAGATAGCCAGAAGTTACTCTTCCCCAGTATACAGTGTGAGCAACAATTGTCACTTGGGAGAATGTAATGGTGGAGGCATGACAGAAGGTGTTACTCAAGACCTGGAGGTCAGAGCAGGCTTCCCAAAGCAAGAGATCCCTAATGGAAGAAACAATCAGGAGAAGGAAATAGTCAGAACATACTTCCACAGAGGAGGAGCTGTGTCCAGAAGGTCAGAGGTTCTAGAATGAATGAGAGTTGGATAAAGGGGACAGAAGGTTAAATAGATGGATATATGTGTGGTGGATGATGGATGCTGAATTATCAACATGGCATCTTTGAACAAAATAATCATAGGTAAGGACACATATGTTTAAGAATACAATAATATGAAGACTTTGGCTTTTGTTTGAATTACCTTTGGATATTCTGACTTTGAAATCATGAGAAGCTGAGGCCTGATTTGTGGGGTACTTAATAACTGCATCATATCAAGCACCTTTCCTCTATCCACTGTGAGAAAATAAGTTCCTTAGAGAACCGTGAATTATGTATGTTTTTGTTCCTGAACCAATCAGATACTTAGCACCAAGTTGGTGAGTAAATGAACAAGTCAACATGTTACTCAATCAGCCGTAGAGTCTTTGACAATGCTAAACCACGAGGAACATTTTCACCATACTTATGTTATACTAAAGGCCCTGCCCCCAGTTTCTACTCAGACAGGAGAGTATAAATATCACTTTATTCAACACCCTCCTGGTGAATTCCTTTTGATCATGCGTGGGGATGTTTTAACATCACACCCCTGAACTCTCCTCCACAAGGAGTTTCGTCCATCATCTTGCACGTTCTGGCCTGGAAAATGATGAGAGTTGGCAGGGCCCTGTACCTACATCATGTTTGCTCTGGTTTGGAAAACAGTAATGATTGACAAATATTCAAAATGAGAGATGTGTGATGTGGCAACTTGCATAGAAATATGCCAACTTTTGACAATGAGCAGCAGGCTTAGCAATTTTCCTGAAATAGAAGAAAGCAACCAAATAGCCCCACTTTTATTCAAGTTAAATGAAAGACCCCTGATATATAAAATTTAGACCTGCAATTTCCATTGGTAGCTTTTATTTACAAAGGTGAAACTCTGGGCTTAGATGTATCTGAACTCACAGAATGATGGGCCAAGAAGGGAAGAATAACAGACATTCTGAACTGCCAGAGCCTTGATGACCAGCTAGCTCTACGGCTCTATGCAGACTTTAGCCCCAGAGAATAGAGGTGGGAGTGGGGTGGTCGTGTGTGTGTGTGTGTGTGTGTGTGTGTGTGTGTGTGTGTGTGTGTGATTTTGTGCTGAAACTGAGAGAGTCAAGTGTATCTGGTGGTAACAAGTAAGCTCATTATCTTAATGGAACTAGTGGTTTCTTGATGTAGACGTATGCAAACACTTGTTGAATGGCAGTTGTCCCTCACTAGCCACAGGTGGTTGGTTCCAGAAACCCCCAATGGATACCAAAGCCTGCAAATGTTTAAGACATTTATAACATGTTGTTCTACTTGCATATAATTTAGCCATCTCTTTCCTTGTTCTTGAACCCACCTCTAATCATAATCATAATGCCTAATGTATTGTAAATGTTATGTAAATAGCATTAGTGGAAATGTCTTGTTTAGGGAACGATCACAAGGGGACAGGGTCGGTACGAATTCAGCATAGGCGCAATTAAAAAATATTTCCAATTCATAGTGGTTTGAATTTACAAAGCCTACAGACACGGAGGGCTGACTGCAGACTTTGAGTATGCTCAGTTTATTGCTTGTCAAAAATGCCTCAGTAAAACTTTGAAAAGCAAAAGAATGAAGGCTAAGTAAAGGGGTAAAACCCATACCACTACTGAACTGAAATCTTTAAAAAGCTGGAAACTTGTACACGGTTTTCAGCAAATAATTATCTGTAAAAATAAGAAGGAAGGACAATTAATCAATGAAAGGTGTTATGAGGAGTTTATCAAATACATTATATAGATCTACTTGAATCAAGACTCAATCAACTCAGTTGTAAAACAACATTTTTGAAACCATCAGGAAAATGTGTACATAAACTGAAAATGTGACAATATGAAGGGGCTTGTTTTAAACATTATAGCATTACCATAGTTTAGTTTTAAAATTAAGAAGGGTTTCTTTTCTAAAAGTAAAAACTAGATTATTCATAGATAAGATTTATATTTGTTTCAAACAATCCAGTGAAGTTATTCAGCATGCTAAGGAATTGCTAAGATTTTTTTGGTATAAAAATAGTACCCTAGGTAATTTCCTAGATGTCTGCATTTTTCAGATGCATGATGATATCAGTAGAATTAAATAACATGGCATCTTCTTGCATTTGCTCCAAAATAAATTGAGCAGTGGAGAGTTGTGGGTAACAGAGACTATCACTGTTGAGGTAGCTTATGAACACAGAGGCATTAAAAAAATCTCAGTAATTTAAGGCCAACTGTGTAAATTTCAATGATTATTGATTATTGTGGTTGGGAATAGCCACAAAACCTGTTTACAAGCAGGGGCAGGGTCTGCTTTTGCTTACAATGATCTTCCTAATACTTGGCAGGGTACTAGCCACTCCAGAAATGAGAGTCCTGAACCAGAGCGAGGCTCAGGAAGTTCCATGTGTCCCAGGCTACAGAGGAAGCTGTAGAGCTAGTGTGAGAACAGATTAGTCTCACAGGCACGTGGGAAGTTTCATATCACTTGCAGACCCAGGAGGTGGACCAATCCTCAACTAGGGTAAGGCCTGATTGGATTAGGGAGTTCCCTATCTCCCTAAGGCTTCAGAGAAAGCTTGAGAACCTAGGTTGGGGACCAGGTTAACTCCTAGTTAGGCCCACAGGTCTGTGGAGATTTCTACAACTACAGCCATTGCTGCACACCCAGATGGGAGGCTCTAGCTGATGTGGGAATACTGGACCCTCAGAGGAACACTTGAGAGAGATTCTTTGACCATAAACACCAGCCCCACAGGCGGAAAACCTAGTAGGACTTAGCACAACACTAAACACTGTAAATGCCACCACTAAAAGAAAAGAAAGGTGCACAATCCCAGTGCAGAAATAGAAACAACATGAAAAACCAAGACAGCACATCACTAACTCCATAAGAATGGTACCTGATGAAAATGACTTGGATGAAGTGCCAGACAAAGAATACAAAAGAAGGATTACAAATATTTCAAACAATTCAAAGAAGACATAAATACACTTCAAGAGAACAAAAACAAAGAGATGGATTAAACAAGGATGGATGCCAATCCAAGACATGAAAGTAGAGATAGAATGGCTGAAGAAAATAAAACTGAAATGATGCTGGAAATGAAAAACTCAACAGGCCAAATAAAAATCTCAGCAGACTAAAACATCAATAGAATAGGAGTGAAAGCCAAGGAAGAGGAATCGGATCACTGAGTAAATATCAACAATAAATTTTAAAAGAAATAAGGCCAGGAAGTGTGAGGACTCTGAGACACCATGAAAAGACCTAATCTTAGGATTATGGGCATAGAAGAAAGATAAGACTATAGCAAAAATAGTTGAGAATATTTCCAAGAAAATCTTAGAAAAGGCCCAATACCTAGGAAAAAAGATTCCTACCCAGGTATAAGAGGCCTACCGAACTCCAAATTAACAGAATCAGAAAATAAAATCCTCATGACATATTATAGCTAAAATATTTAGAACACAGAATAAAGAATGGGCATTAAAAGCTACAAGAAAGAGGGCTGGAGAGATGGCTCAGAGGTTAAGAGCACTGCTGCTCTTCCAGAGGTCCTGAGTTCAGTTCCCAGCAACCACACGGTGGCTCACAACCATCTGTGTTAGCCATCTACGGCTGGGCATGGGGCCTCCCTCAAGTGTGCCTTGTATACCCAGTGAGACTCTACTGGAGAAAACAAGTTTGTCCTTTGTGAGCAGCTGTCAACTGGAGATATCTTCTGGGTTAAGTATGGGGACTAATGTCCACTTCCTCTCTCAGTACTGGGGCCCTATCTGGCTTGGACCTACACAGGCCCTGTGCATCTGGCACAGTGTCTGTGAGTCCACATGCGTGTTGGTCTTCTATGTCTAGAAGGCCTTGGTGTTTTCCGTCCCTGCTGGCTCTTGCAATCTTTCTATTTCTTCTTCCACATTACGCCCAGAGCCCTGAGGGGAGGGTTTTAATGAACTTATCTCATTTGGAACTAAGTGTTCCAAGGTCTCTCACTGTCTGCACACTGTTCAGTTGTGGGTCTCTCTATCTGTTGTCATCTTCTGCAACAGGAAGTGTCTCTGATGCTGGCTGAATGCGGCACTGACATATGGACGTAGCAGAATGTCATTGGTAGTCATTTTATTGCTGTGTTCCTTCAGAAGAACAATAGTATTTGGTTTTCCCCGAGGTCCAAGATTTATCTAGTCTCAGGTTCTTGGCCACCCAAGCAGTATCAGGCATGGGTTCTATCTTATGAAGTGAGCCTTAAATCCAATCATAGAGTGGTTAGTTACTCTCCCAACTTTTTGCCATTATTGCACCAGGATATCTTGTATGCAGGTCACCATGCATCAAAGGGCTTGTAGCTTTGTTGGTGTTTACTTTTCTCCTCGGGTAGTATGCAATACCATGTACCAGTACCAGTGTCATGAACACTAGTTAGTAGGGGCGAAGACTTGAGTTAGGTGTCCGCTTGACTTAGTTTGCGTTCAATGAGTGGTGTAGGTGTTGTCTTCAGTAACAGAGCTTTACTGTCAGCAGTTTGTAGAGAGCAACCAATAGCTTTGGCAATATCCTGAATTAGATGGGGGTTTTCACTGGGCCCCTTTTGTCCAACAACTCAATTAGATGTGACCCATTCCTGGCCCCTGAGTTTCCATTTAGTAGCAAAAAAAGTCTAGTTGGGGCTTTGTCTTCCTCATTATTTGGTGATTCAGTTTCTATTTCTTTCATATCCATATATATTTTAAGATGCTTCTACTGTAATAGATTTCCATATGACCCCCTCAAATGCCCCCAATGTTAGTTTTCCCTCTCTATATTCCCTCCCTTAGCATCTCTTGCCTCCCCTCTTTGTTTAATTCTCTCATTCCAGTGCCCCCACCTCATCTCTCCATAACTATGTATTCTATTTCACTCCCTTAAGAGTTTCTTCCCTTCCCCCTCATTCCTTATTTTATACCTAACCTCTGTGGTAATACTGACAATAGCATACCCATTGAAGGCTTAAAAGCTAGCATCCACATATAAGAGTGTATATACCATATTTGTCTTTTGGGTTTGAGTTATCTCAGTAAGGGTGTTTTTTTTTTCCTAACTCCAAGGATTTACCTGAACATTTCATGATTTCATTTCCTTTTTTTTTTAGCAGCTCAGTAATATTTCATTGTAAAAACAGACCATATTTTCATTATCCATTTATCTGTTGAAGAACATCTAGGACATTTCCAATTTTTGGATATTTTGGATAGAACAAGAGTCTCTGTAGTAGGATGTAGAGTCCTTTGGGTATATGCCCAAAAGTGGTAGAGCTGGATCTTGAGGGCAGATCTATTCCCAGCTTCCTGAGGAATCACCACACAGATTTCCATAGTGACTGTACAAGTCTGTATTCCCACCAGCAATGGATGAGTGTTCCTCTTACCTCCCATCCTCACCAGGAAGAGCTGTCATTTGTTTTATGGAATTTGGTCATTCTTTCTGGTATAAGATTAAATCTCAACATAGTTTTGATTTTCATTTCCCTGATGACTACGAATGTTGAACATTTCAAGTGTTTCTCAGCCATGTGTGTTTCATCTTTTGAGAATTCTCTATTTAGTTCTCTGTAGAACTCTATATACCTCATTTTTAATTGGTTTATTTGTTTTCTTGATGTGCAGTTTTATTTTTTTTAGTTCTTTATATATTTTAGACATTAGCCCTCTATCAGATGTATAATTGGCAAAGATCTGTTCCCATTCTATAGCCTGCCAATTTGACCAAATAATGGTGTACTTTGACACATAGAAGCTTTTCGGTTTCATGAGGTCTCATTTGTTAATTGTTCTTTGTGCCTGTGCTATCAGCGTCCTGTTCAGAAAACCTCCCCATACTAATGAGTTCAAGACTATTCCCTACTTTCTCTTCTACCAGAGTCTGGGTACCTGGATGTAAGTTGCGGTCCCTGATTCATTTGAGGTTGAGTTTTGTGCAGGGTGATGAATATGGGTGTATTTGCATTAATCCACATGCAGCTTGACCAACACCATGTTAAAGATGCTGTCTCTTTCCAGTTTGTATTTCTGACTTCTCTGTCAAAAATAAGTTGTCTATAGGTGTGTGAATTTCTTGCTGGGTGTTGATCTGATTCCATCGATCAACATGTCTGTTTCTATGCCAATACCATGCTGTTTTTAATTAGTAAAGCTCTGTAGTACAATTTGAGATCAGATGATGATACCTCCAGCAGTTCTTTAATTATTCAGAATTGTTTTGCTATCCTATGGTTTTTCTGTGTTTCCATACGAAGCTGAAAATTGTTCTTTCAATTTCTGTGAAGAATTGTGCTGGAATTTTGATGAGATTGCATTAAATCTGCAGATTACTTTTGGTAGGATGGAAATTTTCACTTTATTAATCCCACTAATCCATGTACAAGGGAGATTTTTCCATCTTTGTATATCTATTTTAATTTCTGTCTTCAATGTCTTAAAGTTTTTATTATATAAGTATTTCACTTGCTTGATTAGAATTACCCTAAGATTTGTGTGTATGTGTGTGTGTGTGTGTGTGTGTGTGTGTGTGTGTAAGGCTATTATTGCAAAAGGTAATATTGTCATGATTTCTTTCCCAGTCTCTTTTCATCTGTATATAGGAAGGCTACTGATCTCTCTGTGTTAATTTTGTGTCCTGCTACTTTGTTGAAAGTGTTTAATAGCTGTAGAAA